TTGTGCTTGAAGCAGACGTCGGGAGCCACCTGCGCCTCTGCGGGACACATGGAAAGGCTCAGGCGGAGCTTTGGGATCGGCAGCGCCGCAGCTCGGGATGCGGGAAGGGACCGCAGCCGGGCCATGGCGCATCCCGCAGCAGGAGGATGGGCAGGGAGGGGGCCCTACCTGCGCCCCAGAGCGCCCGGCACTGCTCGCCGTGCGAAGGACAGGCCCCGTTGTAGCAGTAGCCATTGCCGTGCTGGCAGGAGATGCCGTTCTCCTGGAACACGTCCTCCGGACACTCGGCGCTGAGGCCGCTGCAGTGCTCGGCAAGGTCGCAGTCGTTCTTGCTGGCCCGGCAGAGCGCTCCTGCAGCCTTCACCTGCACGGAGAACGGGGATGCCGGCACTGCCCGGATGCTCGCACTTCTCCAGGCAGCGCAGCGCAGCAAAACCCTGCTCTGGGAAACCTCTCCCGGCGCCCCGTGGATCCAGACTCCGACACTCTGCTGCTGGCTGAGCTACTGCACAGCACGGAGACTCCTCCGGGGCTCGGACCGGCTCTTCCCCTACCTAAGAACCTGCCAGAGCTGCGTCCCTGCGGACGGCAGTACCTTGCAGTCCTGGCAGCATTCCCCTCGGGCACACTCGGCTCCCTCTCTCAGCTGGCACGTGGTGGCATTGCAGCAGCGGTCCGAGCACTCCTGCAACACAGGGATGGGCTGAAGCCCTCCTGGAAGCCCCCTGAAGGACCTTTTCCTTCCTTTCTGAGGGGACCAGGTGCCCATTGTGGTGTAGCTGCCACGGGCTGAACCACGGGCCAAAACCACAGCAACATCCCAGGTGGGACCGTTCCTGCTGCCTCTTTATCCCCGTTACCAACAACAAACCAAAGGACCAGAAAGGATTTTTTCAGAAGAGGGAGCCTGACCTGGGCCCCTTTGCACGTCTCCAGGAAGGGGTAAACCTGAGGATTTCTGTGCTCCCTGGGTCAGGGGAACATTCCTTCAGGCCCCAGCACAGGGCTGGGATTTATCCCGGAGGCATTGCCTGTCTGTCTCAATTCCAAGCCCCATCCCCGTGCTGGTAGGGATGAGGAACAGCAGAGCGCTGCTCTTGAAAGAGCAATGCCCTGATGTCCCCTCCTGGGTCACCTCTTTGGAGGACATGGCAGGATGTCCATCTTTCCTGGGCTAAAATCACAGCCGGCCGCATGAAGGGGGCACACATGAATATCCTCCGCCGGTTGTTTTTTGGCAGAAGCACCAGGAGCACAAAGGGAGATCTCAGGTCCCTGCTGCCCACCTCACCCTCCTCCCCAGCCCTTTGGGGAGCATCCCCACCTCTGGAGTGCCGCAGTCACACTGCTCTCCCCGCTCCACAAACTGGTTCCCGCACACCGGCCCCCCGTACAGCTCGTCTGCCCGCGGCGCGTTCAGCAGGCAGCTGGTGCGAGGGTCCCCCAGGAACTGCCACATGTCCTGCTCGCTGCACCGGCTGAAGAGCTTGGGGTAAACCAGCCTGGAGGGGCACAAAACCCAGCGGGCATGAGCAGAGAGCCAGGGGGAACCCACAGGCTCAGAGGCACCTGCAGTGGCGTGGGGTGGAAAGTCCGCCCAGACCTGACCGTCTCACCGGCTTCACCCCATCAGGGCACCCCGTCCCAGGACACCTCTGTGTGTTTGGTGGCCAGGGATGTCCCCCTGGCTCCTTCACTCACCCAACGCTCCCTGCCATCACACACCCCCCGTCAGCTTTGGGGATGGGGCAGCGGCAGCCGGCGACGTCCTCGTCGTGAGACATGCCCAGGTTGTGCCCCATCTCGTGAGCCATGGTGGATGCGGCGCCGATGGGGTTCGTGCTGTGATCCTGTTGGGATGAGCAGCCCAGAGTGGGTTCAGTGCCCCTGTGGTTTCTCCACAGCTTCAGGGGCTCTGCAAGGTGTCTCCTCACGCCGCCGTGCTCAGGTAAGGGAAGACACAAGCTGGACGCGGTCCCGTGGCCCCTCAAGACGCCCAGATTGGTCTCTCAGGGCTGTCAGTGAGCTTAGACAAAGTGTCTGCTCCAAAAATAATGTTTTGTGGTGGGTCTGGGAGGCCACAGGTCCCACAGCCAACCTCTCCTGCTCCTGGGGAGGAATGAGGAGCACAGCCAGTCCCAGCCACCCGATAGCCTCCTAAAATCCCAGCTCCTGTGTCCATGGAGCTTCTCTGGGAGGCTTTCCAAGCGTACCCCAGGTACCCAGCTGGGTGTCCACAGCACTTCTCTGGGGGTCAGCCGCTTAGGGGGCGGAGATACCAAATCCAGCCTTAAGGCTGCTGATGGGGAAAGCTGGGGACCGGTGGAGGAGGGAGCGGCTCTGGAAGACGCAGGGCAGGGAGGGCAGAGCACAGGACACACCTGGTTGACGCCTCCCGAGTCTCTGGTGCACATCACCAGCTTCTTGGCCAGCCCCACGGTGTTGCCGTGGAAATCGACGCCCCTGTGGGATTGAGATGCCACAATGGCCACCCTGGGTGGCGGCAGGGCCGGGAGGGTGGCGAGGTGGCCCTGTCCTTACGTGATCAGCTGGGCGTTGTCGTGGGGCTTCTTCCGCAGCAGCTCCGACTCCCGCCAGTGCAGGAAGTTGTCCAGTGTCACCTCGGGGTTGGGGCTGACTGTGATTTTGTCCCTGTGGTTCCACACCTCCAGGCCAATCAAGGCCACCCGCAGGCGAAGGGGCTGGTAGAGCTGGGGTGGGACAGAGAGAGCCTGGATTTGGGCTGTGGCAGCAGCGGGGAGGTCCCACCTGTCCTGGGGAACTCCTCACTGGGCAATGTCAGCTCTGTCACCCTCAATAAATAACACAAGCTGGGGTGACAAGATTTCCCCCCAAACCTCTGGGCTCCCTCTTGGCTGGTGCAGGCTGGGCTGCTGCTCCCACACTGCTGACCAACAACTGAGGCTGAAGCAAAGCCATCAGGAAACCCACCAGGGTCTGAGGCATCCCTCCCTTTGTTAGCAGCCACTCCAGCCTGAGAGTGGCCACGGGATGTGCTCCCAGGAGTTACAGGACAAAAATTCCCTTCCCTGATGGACAGAGCTGAGCCACTTGTCGTGTCCACGCCGCACACGGGGTTGGCCAAGGGATGCTGTCACCCTGCAGCAGCCCCCTGTGGGCCTGAGATTGGCGCCAGCTCCTCCACCCCACAAACTCTGTGCCCACTGGAGCTGGGTCCAGAGCCCCGGGCTCACCTTGTCCACGTGGTTCACGATTTCCTTCATGCGGTTCTGCACGGTGCGGAGATCCTTGTGCTTCCTGAACTATGGGAAGGACACAGAGACATTTCCAGGGTGGCTTTGAGCTCCTCACTTGCAGGGAGTGACAGCAAGCCCACAGGCACCAGTTGTCCCCACTTTACCTCCTGGTTGTCCGCCACCAGGACCAGCTCCACGTACCGGGGACCCTTTTGTATCGGACCCGACCTCTGAAAGGGAAGAGCAAAGAGGGTTGCAGCTTGCCAAGCCAGGCAGCCGACCCTCCCATGGGATGTGTCGGGTCCTGGAGGACCTCCCAAGGCTAGCAGGTCTCCTAGCTCGGCTCTGGGATGTGCTTTTGCTGGGTTTCAGACAGGACCCAAGCCTGCTGCTGGGATAACACAGCAGAGCCCGTGGGGTGGGAGGATGCTCCTGCTAACGGCGCAGGATCCGAGGGGATGTTCCCACCAGAAGCTGCCTGTGCTGGGGCACCCGACCAGCGACTCGTGGGGCATCGCCAGGAGGCACAGAACGCCCCCATCCTCCCCGGGACATCTCGGGAGCCCGGCTCAGGAAGGAGCAGCAACGCAATCCCTACCCAGCGGTAGAGCTTCATGGCTGCGGGGATTTTGGGCTCGCGGTCGTACTCCAGGGTGGTGCCGGGCTCCCGGCAGGTGCCGCGTTTCCCCCGCAGGTGAGCTGCTCGGTACACGGCGTGCCGGCCGGCCACCGCCCCCTCCAGCGGCTCCAGCAGGAAGGTGGTCTCATTCACCCGGAAAAACCCACTGGACAGAGAGAGAGAGGGAGAGAGGGGTCAGGCATCAGACCCTACACACACCCCTGTGATGTGTGCCCCATCCCTGGAAGTGTTCAAGGCCAGGTTGGAGCACCCCGGTCTAGTGGAAGGTGTCCCTGCCCATGGCATGGGGTGGGATTTAACAGGCTTTAAAGTCCCTTCCATCCCAAACCATTCCGGGATTCTGGGATTCTGTAGGAATACAGCTGCCAAACTGGCTGCTGGGCTGGGAGGGGACAAGCTTTGGCACGGCACCACAGCACGGGGAGGATCCGGTGCTTTAGGCAGCAGGAATGTGCCAGGATTCAACAGCTGGTCCATTAAGGATGGATCCAGAGAGGGCACTCCTGTCACCCCATTGCCATGAGTCAGCCCCCCAAAAGTGCCCTGCGCTTTTCCTGCCGGGCACCCAGCCGGGGTCAGCACCTCCAGCAGGAAGAGGGATGTCATCTTCCCTTCCTGCTGGGGAAAGCTGAGCTCTCACTCCACCAGCACGGCCAGGGCTCAGTCACACCGGGTCACCGGGGCTCGGTCACTCTGGGTCACCGGGGCTTGGTCACACTGGATCACCGGGGCTCGGTCACACTGGGTCACCGGGGCTCGGTCACACCGGCTCACCGGGGCTTGGTCACACCGGGTCACCGGGGCTCGGTCACTCTGGGTCACCGGGGCTCGGTCACACTGGGTCACCGGGGCTCGGTCACACCGGCTCACCAGAGCTCGGTCACTCTGGGTCACTGGGGCTCGGTCACTCCGGCTCACCGGGACACGTGCCGAGGCTGGCTGCTGTCCCCCAGCCAGGGGCAGGGCTCCAGGGAGCCGGGCCCTACCTGAGTCCGCTGCAGGTGCTGATGCTCGCTGCCGAGTCGGGGTGTCCCCGCACGCGGCCCTGGTAGAAGCAGTGATCCTGCCGAGAGAGAGGGCAGAGGTGTGGGGGCTGCAGCCCAAGCGTGGTGGGGCCCCACAGGGGAGGGAAAGCTGCTCCCCAAGGAGCCAGCCCCTACCTGGGTGTCCGGCTTCTCCGTGATCTCCGTGCCATTGGCCGAGTAGTGAGTCTCGGTGTAGTGCTGCCCCAGCAGGGCCCTGCGGGGTGGGGAAGGGGTGTCAGCACCACCCTGCTTTGGGGGACAGCATGTGGGGACTGTGATCCCTCAGGTGGGCTCGGCAAGGAGGGAATAAAATAAAGTGCTCTGGGCTGAGGGTTTGGTCACCGGTGTGGTGACACCTTGGAGAAGGGACGCAAGGGTGGGATGCAAACCCCACCTTGGGCCACCCCTCGCTCACTCACCTGTTCTTCTCCAGCCACAGGAGATATTCCCTGCCTTCTGCACGGACACCGTAGAGGACGTGGCCTGGGTAGGTGCTCTGCAGGAAAGAGAGGTGCCGTCAGAGACCTGCTGCCAGCAGGAGCCAGAGCTGCAGCAGAAAGGGGACAGGGTCTGTGTGTGCCCTGCTGAGAGCCCGGCCGCTCACCCTGGAGGCAGCCAGCAAAGACACAGGAAATCAGAAGAGAAGGAAGAAAGCATGTGGGCAATAACGCAAATCCCCGGCACATCCTGAGATGAAGAACAGGTCACCAGCGAGGAGACAGAGTCAGCAAAGTCTGGTTTCCCGTGTCTGACACATGGCTGCAGATGGCCGTGCCAGGGACTGAGGTTTCCTACTCATCAGTCACAGAGCTCCTTTTTTGGGGCCTGAGTTCAGCACTTACTCATCAGCTGAACCACAAAGATCCCTATGGCTCTTATCAGCAGAGACTGATCTGACACGCCACATCACGTTTGGGGAACAGCCTTCCCCTGGCTCTCCTCGGCCTCCCAGAGCACATTTTGGTGTTGCTGTGTCCCAGGTGCCCTTGGCCGGTGGGAGGGAGCCAGGGTGGCTGTGGCTCAGCCAGCTGAGCCCTCAGGATGGAGATGTTCCTACGGGAAAAGCGTTTCCCTCTGGGCTATCTTGTGATCTCCACCTCCAGAGGCCTCATCCCACTGGGATCACTGGGAGAGACCGATGGTCCCTTGTCAGGCTGTGCCCTTGCCACGAGGGATCTGAGACGCCTCCTGAGGGCACATCCTCAGCCCTTGCAGAATCCAGGTGTGGAGAGAGCTGAGCCAAAGGCAGAGCAAACCTTTCCCACGGGGCCAGCATTCCTCGGGGATGAGGTGTGCTGCCTCTCCCTGGGGAGGATGACAGCACCGGCTGTCACACCACGGCTCAGCGTTCCCAAGGGGATGAGCTGCACCCTGGCAGGAGCCAGGCTGAGCGGAAAGCCCTGCTGATGCGGTGCCAGCGGGGCCAGGTGAGAGGGTTTGCCTGTCACTCAGCTGCCCCGATTCGCCCCGCTTTGCAGTTCCAGGCCGGCGTGCCAGGGCCCTCGCGGGTCCCTGGAAAATTCTTCTCTTATGAACAGCGTCTCCCGCCTGTCCCGACCCCTGTCCGCCAACAAAGCCATCCTTTGTTATTGTTGGCAAGGCCAAGGCCAGAAGAGGTCCTAAGGAATGGCAGGAAAGCACTTGGAAGGGGGTGCTGGGTCAGGGAGCGTCTCTTGGAGACGACCGCAGGGCAAGTTTAAAATAAGAAGTCCTGATAAAGCTTCTCTGAATCACCCCTTTCCTCATTAGCATGGGCTGTGCAAGGGCTCCAGATGGGAAGGCTTTGGGAGCAGCTCTGCGAGCCCCGTGGCCGTGCTGAGCCAGCACAGCCACAGCCAGAGCGCAGGGACAGGAGGGATTTCTTCCAGCTGGTCTCAGTAGGAGACCCAGAGAGCTTGCAGAGGATGGGCACGGGATGTCCCGTCCCGTGTTCTTCCCTGGGTGTTTCTTCCCTGGGTGGGAAGAGGCAAAAGGCCCTGCACTGGGGGCAGGGCTCACTCTTCCAGACCCCTTTCCACAAAGAACCCAGGTGTGCCACTCTCCCTGCTGTGCTGGTGGCAAGGCTGGCACCCAGGAGATCCTGTGCTGCAGGACCCAGGGCTCCACCCCACCTGCAGGGATGAACTTCTGGATTTAAGCAAAGCCAGGGTCTGCTTCAAGCCTCTCCTGGCGGGTGGCCCTGCTGGACCAATCCCAGGTGTCCCAGAATCAGCTCCTGCTGGCCTATGGAGGAGCCAGCATGAAGACCACCCATGTCTCTCTCAGAGGGGCTTGGTGGCGGTCAAACCTCGCTGAGAGCTTCTTCCCCACCCCCATGACCAGGAGAGCAAACCTAACCTCTCTCCAAGAGGAAATAAAAAAGGGCTTGGAAAGCGGGAGGCTCCCCACCCTGGGCAAGGCAGGTTTGGGATGTCCAAGGACCACGCAAGCCAAGACCAAATCCCCATCAGACAGCCCCCGTGGCAGCCCCGAGGTGCACAGCTCGTGGCAGATGTCTTCTCCAGAGGGATCCCGAGGTGGGTGAGCTCCCCGTTCCGGGGGGATCGGTGCCGAGTCGCCCGGCGCACACCCGGCACAGATGGCGTCTCTAAATAGCCTGGGGAATGTTTGTCTCGTGGACAAGTTTAGGTTTCTAGAGCAGGGAAAACAGATGCTTTCGGGGAGTGTTTTTGAAGCTAGCTTATCAGGAAGGGTTTGAATCACAGAGGAACGTGCTGTATGGCACTAGGGAATGCGTGTCCCCGCTCCCTCCATCCCTCCAGGCGCTAAAATCGGCGCTTTTTGGGTCTAGAAAAGGAGTAAAAAAAATTAAAATAAAATAAAAAAAAAATTGGCTGAATTTCACTGTAAGGCAATGAGGAAAGTGTCTTTGAGGTCGAGGCATCCTACGGACGTTGACATCAAGCACTCCAAACTCCTGACTCAAACCCCATTCCTTCCCCCAAATTGCCAGGTTTCCCAAGAAAAACAGCACAAAAAAAAGAAGGGCTCGCTTTCATGTGGATTTCTGCAACTTTCTGATTCTTATTTCTCTGTCCCAAAGGACAAAAAAAAGCCCCAACTTCAGCAAACACAGCAAGAAAAGTGCTTACAGCTCCACGAGGCTTCTCAAACCCCTCCTTAAGGAAAGAGCAGATGTCACAAGATCACGGCACGGCTGCAAGAGGTGGCACCGCTGGGTCACGTCTCCAAAGCAAGCCCTGGAGAAAGCAGCCCCTCTCTCCAGGAGTGCACCCCGCTGTCTGCAGGTCCTAATCAGTCCCAAAACAGCCCAGAAAAGCTGATCTGATTCAACTGCTTCAGCATCTCCGTGCTCTGGGGTGGAAGCAAGGCAAGGAAACGGGCGGCTCGCCGTTCTTTTGGTGCGGGGCTGAGGGGGTCTGGCCAAATGCTGGGTCAGGGGGTCCAGCTCTGAGCCTGGTGGTGGGACAAGATCCCTGCTGGCTGCAGCCCCCGGCTGTGCCGAGCTGTGACTCACCGGAGGCGCAGAGAGGTCCCTCTTCCCCCGGGGCAGCGGCAGCTCCCGCGGCAGCACCGTCTCGTACCGCCCGACGTGCGGGAGCTTCTCCTCCAGCCCGGCACCGCAGCCTGGGAAAAGCCGGAGGGCTTTGAGACAAATGCCCGGGCACAACCGAGTCATAGAACACCCAGAGCTGGAAGGGTCCCACAGGGATCACTGATCCAGCTCTCGGGCCCCCACAGACCCCCCAGCAATCCCAGCCTGGGCATCCCTGGCTGCGCTGTCCGAACGCTCCTGGAGCTGCGGCAGCCTCGGACCCCATTCCCTGGGGAGCCTGGGCAGTGCCAGCACCCTCTGGGGGAAGAACCTTGCCCTGACACCCACCCTAAACCCTCCCCTCCCCGTCCGACACAGCTTCACGCCGCTCCCTGGGGTCCGAAGCCAGGGGGCAACGAGAGCATCCAGCGTGAGGAGACGGGGCTGAGCCCGAGGAGCAAGTCCTGAAATACCCGCTGGGAACGCAACTCCCCGGAGCTGCATCCCTCCAGCCCGGCGCCCACAGAGCGCTCAGCATCATCTGAGAGTCCCCCTGGGGCTGGGAACCCGCGGCACAGAGAGCTTTTCCAGCTCCCCATGGTGATGCCACCGCGTGTGACTCGGCGTCTGGCGGCTGTGGGGGCTGTTTGGGAGAGCGGCTGGTGCCTGGGTGGCTCAGCCCCCTCCCAGCCTTCCTTGCATGTCGGAACGGAGAATTTCTGCCATAAAGCCTTTGCTTTTCCCGGGAGCCCCGAACGCCGGGCTCGGACGGGGCTGGGGGTGCCCAGGGGCCACGGCCGGGAGCCCGATCAGTCACGGGCGGCCGAGTGATGGGGGACCCCCGGCCCGCCGCGGGCCACCGCTTTGCGACCCTCGCGACCCTCCTGTCGCCTTGCCGGGGTGCCCGGGAGC